TTCCTTGCGTGATCTATATGAAAATAGTTTTCCATGTGTGGAATTTAATAAGGTTGGAGACAATCAAAAAATTATCTGCATCGCTTTGCTTGTTTTAATATTTTTTAGCAAAACGTCGATCCAGAACAGTTTTGTCCAGCGTACTAAGCATTAGCACAAAGAATGGTAAGTAGAATAAAGACGAACGCTTGTTTTTCATTGCTCCAACACTAACCTTAAGTTGATAGTGGCCAAATTACTCATTTTTACGTGCGTGTTTTGGACGTGAACAAAGCACTTCATATGCGCTGTTGCACTTCTTGACATACAATTACTAGTTTCATTGATGTTCTTTTCTTTAAAAGAATAGAAACGCTAACGAAACTGGCAATGTATGAGTAAGATCAAGTGTTGTTTATAATATTTTCACCTGAGTGGTACAATGGATGCTTGAGTTTCCTGGTCGCATTGAAGACAGTGAACTGAGCCATTTCCTTGTCGTATATGTAAATTTCTGTGCCGACGTTTTTCTTCCAAGTATATTGTAGATCGTCTTTGTCGTAGGAGACTAGGGAGAGTTTGTGCTCAGTAAGAGAAGACAGAACGAGGCAAGATATGACGATTCAATAATGAATGTAATTTCCCTTTCTACGTACGTTGTAGTAATTTTACCTTAGATTCAAAAAATATATATATATACCAAAAATCAAATAAGGGAAATAGGACGAACTTATATCTTCATCTACAACCTAAAATTCAAAATATGTCATCTCAGATACTTCAGAGAGACTGATCGAGAACCAGATTTCGCACCAGTGATGTCTAAAATGGTTTTGCTCACAGCTGACTGATGGCTGCCAATTGCAGTTTACTCGTGTACAGCCAGGTTAATACCGTCGAAATATCTCATATATCGATCCCAGTCTGCCACAAAAGCCACTTCTCAGCCTCCTGGAAGTTTTAGAGTGGCGACATATTTTAAAATTATGATGCAAAAATCCCCTTCAGTTTATTTTGTAGTTTGTAAGCTCGAACTCAGTACTCACAACTTTCCAAAGCTAAGTGACAAATCTGATCATCCATTGGATAGTTCCGTAAGTTCATTTTACAAGAGGCTGTAGATTTCATCCTGGGGTAATACAATAACACTTTTAACAATAAATATTGCCATGGGAAAACAGATGTTTCGTTCAAATACTTTCAAACTTGAAAAACGAATTTGCCTTTTTTTCTTAAACCCTTTTCAGAGTACTCATTAATAAGATGTACGGTGTTGAGTTATGTACGGAAAAAACTTATAGCATGGTTCTGAGGTGGTGTGTCCAGTTTGGTGTTATAACTGGATTCGTTTCCCTTACGGCAATTCTCATTATTATATTAAGAGGGCCAACTGCTTGATGCAAAACCTTGTGACTGGAAAGCGTTTTTTGAATGATGTTAGCGTGTAAATTGCTAACGATGTTACCATATATTATGTTAAAAAATTAAATAAAACTACTATGTGTAGTGTTCCTTTACTGACTGGTCACGACAGCAGAGGTAATGATAGCGGAAAATATACGCGAAGCAGATCCTGAATACAACTGACTGAGAGGGAGAGAATGTTTCAGTAGATATAGTGCAACTGCAAACGCAATATGGAAAAAATAATAGAATAAAATGAAACAAAACAAAAGCAACAGAATTCACGGATCTTACCGCGCACTTAGCATCATGTGTCCACCATTTAAATTTACCCAAACTTTCTTGTTTGGAAGAATCGTCTCATGGACACTTGTCTGAACTGAATTAACAAAAAATGTATCAGGAAGCCAGAATTTATCTGCATAGTCCCCTCCAAGAGTAAGAGTTTTGTTAAGACCCAAGGCAAGCCTTGGATCCTGCCAAAACAAACCAAGATACAGATCCAAACTGAACTCCTAAAATACAAGAAAACAAAAAAGTACCCGTTTAATTTCAGTCTTTGTTCAATTATCTCTCTGTTTGTTGTTTTGTTTGTTTGTTTGTTTGTTTTCAATGACATGACTTGCTTTTAATTGTTGATAGCTTACATTTTCAATATATACGACTGACTGAAATTTTAAGAAACATGACATGAAAAGCTCCTATTGTACTTCGTAATTGTATTCTCCCGTTGTCTTTCAACCGAGCTCGAACTTATAGCGGCTCAAAATGTGAGGTTTTCAATATATATAGATTTTGAAAAATCGTTTCCGCGTAGTGACGATCAGGGGCCGGAGCAAGAGCTACAAAGCCGCTAGAGAAATGGGAAGTAAAGAAGAGAGCCCACTACTTATTCTTTTTGCCAACTACTTCACCTGAGAAATTTGAAAACGTAGCTTTATTTCTACGGTTAGGACTACCGTCCACACTAATTCGACACGAAAACAGAGCTTTTCGAAAACGCTCTTCAAACCGGAGGAATTTGAAAACGCCGGCTTTCCGTTTTGGGGTAAACAGAAAAAAAAAATTGAAAACAAAGCTTTTCGAAAGCGATGGCATGATGATCATCATGTGATTTCTCTGACCGAGTTTTCCTTAACCACAAATTCAGAATGACTGGTGATTGTTGCGTTTGATAAATTCCTCCGGCGTGGTGTGGACGGAAAACGTTTGATAAGTTTTCAGAGTGAAACCCCCGTTTTCAAATTCCTCCGGCGGCTTTAGTTGTACATGTCCTCGTGGAGTATAATATGTTAAGCTACGGATGTTTAGCTTGTTACCTAAATGTTTATATCAACCAACTCACCATATCTGCCTCTTGTATTTCACCAAATGACAAGATAAGAATGTCCACTTTGACATCAACAGCTCGCACTAAGAGGAAGGCACAAAAACAGTGAAGCTATGTTTAAGTGTACAGTCCTCAAACTTAAACTTCAATCGCTAGCCGTGTTCGTGGCCATCCTCTCTAGTTTAGAAAACCGTTTTAAATAAAAAACGAATAGAAAGCCGCGAAATTAGGAAAAAAATGGTAAGGAGCGTAATGGTGTTCTCACAGAGGGGCTAGCGCTAATAGTGTATTACGATCTAAAAATTGCTAACATTAACTTTATATGTACTTGCTGACATACACTCCCTCTTACCTCCATAGAATGGCCTAATGTTCCTGTCGTAGTTTGTCATTATTGTGTTCAATAGTTTAGACATGTTCCTTCCTGGCTGTATAAGTGAACTATTCCGTACCAGAGCAGGCTTGTAACTCTTGCTAAGAAAAGAGAGAAGGTATTTCTTAATTTTTTTGTTGTTATTAGGGCTTAAAGTAAACCGTGAATGGGCTGAGTTCGTTTAAAAAAACAGGATAAACAATGCCGAGACTAGCTCCAACCAAGTCCAACAATGGCATTTTGCTCTCTGTTACGTTTATGGGCTAAAACATCTTCAATACACTATCTCAGTCCGTCCTGTTTTGATAACAGTGCCTTGGTTAAACGAGCTTAAACAAATTGAAAGTAGCAGAGCACCGAGTCAAATTCGATTTATGCGATAATGTATAATTCACGAATCACATTTTTCCCAAATCGAACTTGCGTTAAGTTCAGTTTGTGTCTACTTACGACTTTAGTTGCATTTCAATGAACATTTGGTACTTTTAACATACTCACAATAGGTTTGAAGCAAAACATTCAGCGAAGAGAAAAGTAAGAGCGACCAACTTTGAATTTCCCTGTGTCATTATGTCACCCTAACCTAGAGAAAAACGTTGTTAGATATTAACTTCCTCTATAGATATATATCTTCAACTTAAAATAAAGATTGTAATATTTTCTTTCAACTTGATTTACTTAATCCTAGCCTTGCTAACGTTATTTTACGGTTAACAACTAATAAAACTACAGAGTTGGATTGTGAATAATAATTTACATTTGTTGTTATGCCACTTATTACAAATAAGTTGAGGCTGCTAAAAGTGTACAATTTAATTTCCTTGCTTGCTGTTGAGTTCAGTACCACAGAAAATCAAAACACTGCAATACTTGGAGATATCCGTGCTAACGTACAAAAAAAGATAAACACAAAAGCATAATAAACCGCATATTAATAGAATATACAAAAAGTGTTATTATTACTTCTGCAATCCCTTTTTGGTTTTAGATATTTTGATGTATCTTTTACCCAAGGCCAGCTAATTTTATTTGCTGCAGTGGCGAATCAACCCGGGTATTAAAGCCTTAACTGGTATGATAATTTAAAATTGTCGGGGTGGTTATTTTAAGGTAAGATAATAAATTCTCAAAAATGTGCCTTTGTGGGAGCAGGTGTCAAGTATCTGTCAAGTACATTACGTACAGATTAGCTTAGCTGGAAAAATACCTACTGAATTTTGACTGAATTTGGATAAATACGTGATGGTGACTTTCATTGGTACGTTTCGGCGGTATGACAGGCTCTTTTGGTCTCGCCATGAGTATTTTACCTCCACTACCTAACGTCTAGCCAAAATACGAACCATGCCCAGCCAAACTTGCCTGAGATGCCCTCGAAGTGTACCAAAAAGGTACGATTGGTATTAAAGATATTTATCATTGATACATCAGTCAAGGCAAAGGTCGATCACGCTTCCATACACTGATCATTTTCATGTGAGGTGTAATCTGGTCGAGTAAAAACTGTTATTAACAACTAATACAACGGCATATTATTTGTATTTCTAAACCATCGAGACCCTTACCTTGACCTAGCCTTTAAACAAAACAAATATTGAAGCATAAAAATTTCATTGTACCTTGAAATATAACACGACGGTTAACTTTCTTCATTTCTGATTGTTTGTGCGGCATTCCTGTATATCTCGATATAAATGTATTTTTGAAACTTTGATTAATCTTTCGCTGCACTAAAAAACTAGCTGCTGCAGTTTTGAACGTAGGAGGTAATGTCAAAAACGTTCTAAACAAATAAAACTACTTTATGTTATAACATATTATGGCCTTGCCTCCTGCTGTTGGAGTTAAGTTGTATTCGAGCGTGTTTCCATTCGGAATGTATTTTCTCAACAAGAAATCCGCTATTCATCTTTAATTTAGTTATTTAACACAACGTTTCGGGTTTTTTCTTTTTTTTTCACAAGCAAAATGTCTCGATTAACTTTCTTTTCGGTGAAGTTTAAGGGAATCCTAGTTGATCAACAACAATAGGTATCAAGGATGGCGCTTGGACACGAAATCGCTTCTTGGCTTTCTAACTGATAATTACCTTGGATCCTTTTTTCTTTGAGATTGTTAAAAAGTAAGAGAGATGTGTGCATAAATCAAATATCATTAAAACGAAACTTGTGGCGCGTATTTCGCAGCTATGACAAGTGCAAGTTGTTCTCAAAATAAAACAGAGTTACAGTACAATTCATCTTGCTCTATGTTATATTTTCTTTCTTACGATATGACTCTTTTTTCCTCAAATATGATACTTATTCACATGATGATCTCTACGTCAAGTGAACTGAGCAAACTGGTCAACCGCGAATTCATGCAAACTACGTAACTAAGCGAAGTGCCCACAAATGATAAAATTATAATAAAGAAATGACTTTAGTGGAAAACATTTACCTGTCATTAAGAGAACGAAAGGCCTTTAGCAAGTCAGCACTTTGTATCTATCATTTTGCACCATTTTTTCTATCCTTCCCCCGTAGAAGTACCATCATAATTGTTCGGCAGCTCGAATCACGTTACAAATTATAATTTTTTTCATAAGGTTTCACCTAACGAAAACACAGGATGCCACAGCGGGTTATCATTTGTCTTCTTACTAAGAACGCTACCTCATCTTTACAGTGGTACAAAAAAATAACAGCAAAATAATTTCTTCAAAGTAAGTTGACTGATATTGATGTATTCAGCAAAGGTTAAGTTTAAGTTCCGACGGTGATTATAAATCTGGTCAAAGTTCTCAACGTGCAAAAAAAAAATTGAAAATTTGAAAAAAATCTTCCAATCATACAATTACTTTTTCCGAGTCAAAGTGCGCCTCGCAGGTGAGCATCAATTTTTAAACGCGGTTATATCAAGGCTTTCTGAATGTTAATGATGGAAGGTGGACTTTCAGTGTTTATTGTTTCGCTCGAAATGACTACTTTGTATATCATAAAATACACCCAAAATTACGTAAATGTRAAGATKCCCTTTCTTGTTAGCACTACTTCACGAGAATGCGTTCATATCACTGAAATGAGAGTTGCCCTCAAAATAAAACATTATGGGGTTTTTGTAGCACCACGTGACTCATTCAAACAGGCTGTCCATCACACTGATGAAACCCCTTCTCGCATAACCAATTTCTTGTTTAAGTTAGCTGGTGGTCGAATAATGTAAAACAGTCACACGAACGCTGCGTGAGTTCCTGACACATGCCGCAATGGTTTTCCTAGTTGAAGAATAATCACTCTTCAATACAAATCAGTCAAAACAGCTAATGTGGTCAAAATTATAGAAAAAAATTGGGACAATAACAATGAAACAGTACGAAGTTTCAGAGGGGACTCACGCATCTTAGTCGTGAGCCCACACACATCACTCCCAAAGGAAAAATATATGTTTAAGACTAGTTGAGTTGATGCTAACTTCTTGTTTGGGAAAACTGAGGGATATTTTTAATCGAGTTCCTATCCCTGCTATTTCCCTTAAACATGAATCATTTGTTGATTGCCGAAGAATGGGCTGAAATTGCAAACTTCTTAGATTCATGTATCTTGAAACAGCTTTGACTCAGATGCCTTTGAAATCATTATTGCTAGATTTGATTTGTTTCCACTAAGAACGAGCGCTCGTGATTTACAGTATTATCACTTTTAAGTGTGATTTATCTTCGAAGAGAAATACTAGTCAGCACAGTATGTACTTTTTAACTGTTTATTTCTCCTATTACGATTTACTTGGGGCACTTTAAAGTAAAATTTAAATGTACTTTTTAAGTAATATTTTATCTATTCTAAACTGCGTAAGATGTATTCGGCTAAATATTTATATCAAAATCGTTAAGTTTTAAAAGTAAATAGAATATATTCTGGAGAATGACAGTAAAAGTCTTTTTTGTTTGTTTGTTTTTTGTTTTCTGTTTGTGTGTTGCATTTTTTTATCCAGTTTATTGGACTCATGAAGGTTTCTCTGACTATAATATACAATTTCCTATTTTCTTTGTAGATCGCCTACAGGTGCACTTTAACTATATTTCTATCACATTACAGTTGGCATATTGTCATAAATAGAAACGGCTCTCTTCACAGAACATCGAGTCGTTAATATTTATGTTACTGACTTTTCTAACTTCATTCAAGTGTTGCTATTTACTTTCACTTGGACGTTTCCTTAAGTTTCCAAGCTAACAGACTCGGGGCACTGATATTAAACATGATATGATGATTATGTTTGCTACGTACATAATGACATTTGCTGAGGTTCTTCATGGACAACAAACGCAAGTAGTTAAAACACATAAAAATAAACAAAATGCTTGTTTTCACTAGTACGTTATTATAAGCAGCGTATGTACCGAACGCTGTAAGCTGATGTTAGTAGCGCATTTTCAGTGTTAGGACATTTTCTTAACAAAAGGCTTCACCTAACCGCACATAACTAAACCTAAGTAAATTGTTTATTCTTATGCGCTAATGGAAACTAGCCATAAAAACA